CTTTGAAAATTTTTGAAATTGTCCCACCAAATAATGCATTTTTTGTCTTTGCATGAACAGACCTCAAAATTTCAAGTGAAATTTTTTTGAAAAGTAAGAACCCCATTAAAATCAAAAAATTTCAGTTGCATATTATATTTCTAGCTTGTTTACATTTTTTCTTTGAATGTTTGGCTCAGGTGCCAAAGATTCTCTCCAAATATTCCACGGTGACACCTCAAACTTGGGATATCTCCATATCATCGACAAATTGAACAGAAATGCTGGTAATTTATTAAATTTTTTTGGCTGTAAAAAATGATTTCAGACAAATTTTCCTGAATTTTGTAAAAAATATGGGTTTTTCCTTGATAAACAGGTAATAAATTCTTTGCTTCTCCAAGATAAAATTTTGTCCTTCTCAAAGCCAGTGTCGCAAATGAAGCCTTTTTTGAAAAAAAGGAAACCGCCATTCCATCTTAGCAAAATTCGGCAACTGTGTGACTGGAAGTGAACTTACGAGCGACGTTTGGCAGAAAGCATGATGTTTTTACAGCTGGCTGCATCATAGGCATATTGAGAATTCTCTTCCACAAAAGCAACAACTTCTCAGCGACAACTTTCATACATGTCCTTAACTGTAAATCCTGTAAAATTAGGGGAAAATGCATAAAAATTCGAAAATAGAAAAAAGAAAAACCACATTACAGCAACCACGAACTTGCTTCAAAGCAACTCTCAAAAGAGGGAGCCATCAACAGCCTTACCAGAGGGGAAACACTGTTGGAGCTCCTAGATGGAGGTCCAATCTAAGAAAAAACCCGAATTTTTACTATTTCACGATCTTTTATTAGCTCTCTCATCTCATCTCTTTCCCTCCCCTCATTTCTCTCAAACCTTACCTCATTCAAATATGAAACAATTTACTGTATGTTCTTCCAACTAAATTTAATGTCCCAAAAAATCTTCATAAGGTAAAAATGTGGGAAAAAACAACTCCTGTCAATGTACCCTTCTTAGGCAGTACATTTGGTGTTTCGAGATAAGCAGATTGTAGCAACCAGGATAAGGTTTTGAGGATGCAAACACAGATATAGGACGATGAAGCAGCCATAGCATACATAAAGAAACAACTAATTTATTGTATTTTATTCAACAGGGGCAATTTGGCAATAAGCTGAAACAATCACAAGTAAAAGCATTCGAACAATCCTTGCTCGTTAAAAAAATCCAACACAACCCCGAGAAATCTGGCAGGAGCAGCAAAATTAATAAAAACAGCCCGACACCCCAAAAAAACACAGATGCGATAATTCTGGTGATGTGACCAACAGTTCGGACAGTTCGAAAGCCATTGGTCATCAATTACAGTGGCCCAATCTTCATTTGCTTACCAGATTCTGATGCAATAAAACAAAGTGAGTTCATAACTTTTCTTAGTAACTCACTTTTTTCGGGAAATAGAGGGAGGCGGCTGGAAGTAGAGGGCCGAGCGGTAACCACCAGTATCAGCCATCTTACTGGAAAAGCTGCCAAGGGCTCTTTCTGATGATGCTTGCTTACAAGCAGTTTGACTGCCTTGCGCATATGCCAGTACCAATTTACCAACGAAACGAATTAATGAATGAATGAATCGTAGAAGAAATCTTCAATATCTATTGGCTGAACTCCCCCTCCCCTCTTCTCCTCCCTCTTTCCAGCCCAAATTTCGACATACAAATTACTGCACAATATCATCACCAATGATTTGATACAATATTTTAACTTAAAAATTAACATTTCTCATTTCTCAACTGGTAGTAACACTTCTGCTTCAATCCGAGTTCTCCCAGCTAAAACATACAGTTTCGGAAAAATTTCTTAACTTTCCCGTCAAATTTTTTGTTCAAACTACAAAAAATCCCTCTTCATTTAACGCAATTTCGCACTTTTCAGAAAAATTCTTGCTTTTTGTAAACAAATTTCACATTCTCCGCTATGAAATTTTTTCCTTTCTGCACTTCTCCGTTGTAACATTATTTGTCAGCGTAGGTAACACTGATGGTTCTCTAAAATAAGTGCTTGTCGAAAACAACACACAAAAAAGAATCAAAGCTCAAAGTCGAGGCAGAAAAACATTACAACGAAATGAATGCAACAATAAATCTCATTCCAGTACATTCCTATATTCAAAAAATCAATCATGTCCTACTTTTGAAGAGAAGAAAAATACATACGCTCATATGTGAACTTGCCAAAACGGCTAAAACAATGAGGCTGACGCAAATATAGCACTGCATACATGCAAAAAATCGCTCATCTAGAACGACTCTATGGAACTATGGCAATGTAAAAAGCCTAGAATAGAGAAGAATGGAGAAATTGCCAACTGCATCAACAATGGCAAGAAGAAACGCGACAATCAAGCAACAGCTGATTAACGTAAAAACATAAGCTATATGCTATGAATTCAGTAAAAATATAAGCTACGAATTTCTTCAAAATCCAAAAATGTTTAAATTTCAAAAAATGTCTTATAGAAATGTGTAAAAATAAATCTAAAAAAGACAAGAAAAAACATCCTGGAAACTTCCACGTAGCACAAATTCCACTGTTCCGGGAAAAAATGGAGCAGTACTTACTTGATCAGCTGCAGTTCCCAGTATGGCTCTTCAACTATGCAGTTTTTCCAACTGGCTCGGTTTTTTTTTTTTGCTGCTTTGCCGGGTGCGCATTTTGCTGCTGGCGATCCTGACGTTCACTCTTAACTGAAAGAACAGCTTAACGGTTCTTCCCTTAGAAGCATGTTGCGAGACTTTAGCCATTTCGAGATGTCAACGATCCGTGGCGAGCATTAGCCACTCCCAGACAGCGTTAAGGTATCGACCACAAACACTTTTACCTATATTTACTCAAATTTCTTATCTCCTAAGGATCGTATTTTAGCATATTCTGACACCTAAGAATCAATATTTCTCGCCTTCATTCAATGCATTCATCATCTTCTCGGTTGTACATTTATTCAACTACAAAAGTCATCTCAGCTGTTTTTTTTCCACCGTTCCGCATAATTTTGCATCCAATAAAACTAATTCAATGCCCCTCTCTTTCAGGTAATCTTTGGGTGTCAGAGGGATTGACAGCTTAACTAAAAGGCCAAGATCAAACCAAAATCGCCGGAAACTGCGGCTGTAAGAATTCGATGTTAGTGATGTTATTGGGACGCACCCCAATTGCTTTGGGTAAATCGTTGGCCAAAACTACGTCCTACGAACAAAACAAAAGCAACTACGATAACAAAGCAAAAAAAAAGTCATAAAAAAATTCAACAAATAGAAAATTAACAACTCAGAAAACTAGGAATGTGCTAAGCACATTGAGCGAATAATCGCTATACTTAACAAAAATATTAACTACCTACGCTGATTGTAAAAGAAAATCATCAACAAACTGAGGCATTTATCACAATTTGCTTCTTTCAGGTTCCACATCAAATAGGTTACTGCATGCAAAAATATTCTGCAATGGATGTTTCTTTTATTCACGAACTATGCAATGAAGTAATTGTTTCAGAAATTTTAAAGATGCAAACAATGAATATCTCTGGCTAGGGGAATGGAAGAAATGTCTTTTATGTGTTAACATTTGCAGTCTGTTCGGTCGTGAAAAACTCGCGAAAAGCAGTGAATGATAAGCAGCCACAATTTTGCATATTTCTAAAGAGCGGCAACAAGGAAGGGGGAAGATGTTTTTTGTCGCTTTAAAGGCAGAGGTATTGCCAAGTTGAACT